GAGGATCGTGCATCATACGTATCTACAACCGCAGTTCAAAATATATGACGTCATATATTCATTGTATCTGATTTATCATCACGGGTTTATTACGAATCAACTTTACGGCCTGCTCCCAGTTGGCTTGTTAGCTCAATTGGCAGAGCGCTACACTAGTATCGCAGAGGTCAGTGGTTCGAATCCCGTACAGGCCTGATATTTTCAGGTCTGATTTTCGCTATTGCATAAATAGCGCTCTCTACTGCGAGGATCGTGCATCATACGTATTTTTTTTTTTTTATTGTTGGTATTTTTGGTATGCATGGGTACCCATTTGTGCGTACCAGCCGCTCCACGCAGAAAAAAACTCAAACATGTCAAGACAAAACAAAAATAAAAACGTGACGACGAGGTCACGGTGTCTAAGTCCCACGAGTCAGTCCACCAATTACACTGTACTGAACCCGTCTGCCAGCCTGTCCCCTTAAATCAGGAGTCCAATCTGAAAGCCCCACCACGCTGTATTCATTATTAGGGACTTTAAGCAGTCAGGACGGCAACGGCACGGAAGACGTCGATTAAAAAATGAATTTCTACTTTCAGTTAGAATTTCGAACATGGCTACATGTGTTTACTGTCTCATTGGCCGCCAGACCTCAAACTCAACATAACGCATAAAAGTAGCGTTGAGTTCTAAATGTAAATTAAAATAATTTGCCGCCGCGGTTTCGGTTCGCAGACGACGCAAATTTGGGTGATTTCACGTTGTTGTTTTGCAAAGGACGGCTAAGTTTTAAGACGCACGTGTTGGGCTATTGTTCTGTCAATTTAGATCTACTGTTTTTCCACGTTCTCGTTGCCGTAGCCGTCGTGGTTTGCTTAAAGTTCCTGAAGAAGGCCGGAACTGGGTTCTAGTGTTTGGGCTAGATCAGAGGTTTAAACGTAGTAATGACTAGTGATAAGGTGCTCACTGTATCTGGGTGATTGCATGAAGAAGTAGTAGAAAATGGTGAAATATTTGTCAGTGATGGATGTAGTTTTTCATGACCAAATTAACCTTAAATGATAGTATTGCCGACGTTCTTAGGCTTCATTGAGTTGTGGTAGGGTGCACAATCCTATTTTTCCGGCATGAACTGCCAACCAGGTTATCGTTTTCAGGCTTTTGAATCCCCGGCTAGTATGCAGTTTAGCTCCTTGAACAAGGCGTAAACCAGAAGCCTTGGAAAGGGTGTAGACATTGGCGATGCGCGGTCCACATATGTGGACACACAGTTTAGTAAATCTCATTATGTATGCTTTGTCTACAAAGCATATTACCTGTTTAAGAGAGGATATCCTCTTTTGTACCTGTGCCAGTCTGACTTGGTGCTAGGAGTGGCTCCACAAGATCGATATATCAAACTTCCCCGTCCGTATCGAACTTTCCCGTCTCCTGCATCTATTAATTAGTTAATTTGGTTAGGCAGGGGACGTTAAAAGAACCTACTCACGAGATTACTGTGAGGTGGTCTGGCCTGTTTACTGGAAATTGCTGGGAAAAGAGGGGGAAGGAGGCATCTTCAAATAAGTTTCCTTCGATCGTTTGTAAACTGCTGATGCAGTCCGGCCAAAGTCCT